AAGAGTCATCAAATTGACATTTCAAATTGGGACGCAATTGTTATATATCTTTGCTCGACTAAACTGCCTGACAGCACTTTGGCTCTATGGGAGCAAACCATAGACCACACAGGCGATTTACCGAAGTGGGAAGATATGGACAAGTTCCTATCTAACAGGTTTCAAACCCTGGAAACCCTGACGGGCTTAAAGGGTACAAAAGCGGTTAAGGCGCCAAAGCCGCAAAACACCAAAAACCCTTCAGAAGCCCATACCAAAAGACTTGGTGCATTCCAAGCAAGCGTGACCAAGTTCACTTGTGCAATGTGCCAAACGAATGAGCACAAACTACGCCGCTGTTCCAAATTTTTGAAGCTTACGCCTGATGAGAGGTTTAATTACTTAAAGAGCAACAACAGTTGCCTGAATTGTCTGAGTGCTGCACATACCGTGACGAGGTGCACAAGCCCCTATAATTGCAGCACGTGCCACTCGCGACATCACTCGCTCCTGCACATTCAGACAAATGTGCCAAAGGCAACAGCGGCTCGAACGCCGCCGGAACCTGCCAATAACACCGCATCTTCCTCTCAACAGACTCAAGCAAAGCGCAGCTTTAATAATAAAACACGTAACAATAAAAGCAAAGACGTTAAGTCTTGTTATGCTAACACAAATTCAGGTGTACTCTTAGGAACAGCTCGCGTAAATATACGTCTCAATGGCACAGATTTTTCTGCTCGAGCACTTATTGACTCTGGTTCTGAGTGTTCGTTCATAACAGAACGACTCAAACGCAGAATCAACCTGCCAGCTAAGAGGATGCATGCCCAAGTCTCGGGCATTACGAATGCAACCTCTGCGCAGGTCAAAGAGGCATGCAGCATAGAACTTCGATCCCCTGTTGATCCACTGTTCAGCCTGCATGCAACAGTGCTCGTCCTAACAAGACTAACCGGAAATCTACCATCCTGTCATATCAGCGCTATGACTATGCAGGCATTTCCAGGTCTTGTTCTAGCTGATAAACGGTTCTACTTGAATGAAGAAGTAGACCTCGTACTTGGCGGAGACATTTATCCCCAAATTATTTTATGCGGCTTGAAGAAAAATGTACTCAGTACACTTCTCGCCCAAGAAACAGTGTTCGGTTGGATATTAACCGGATGCACAGATGCACCCAATCCAACCAACAATATAGTTTCGTATCACAGCGAAGTTGCCTTGAACAAACAACTTACTGCATTCTGGGAACTCGAAGACATACCAAAAAACAAAAGCTTGAACGAAGACGACCAATACTGTGATGAACTTTATCGGAAGACAACTTGTAGACGAGAAGACGGAAAATACGTAGTCTCGCTACCATTTAGGCAGGAATTTCCCGCAAACATCTGCCTAGGCCCTTCTCTCAAAAAAGCATGCTCTCAGTTCTTCCGGAATGAGACACGGCTTGCAAAGGATACCGTCCTACAAAAAGAGTATAATAGGGTACTAGCTGAATATGAATCACTAGGACATATGTCCAGAATAAATGATAGTATTTCAGCAGACTCTTCCGATAACTACTTTCTACCTCACCACGCTGTTATAAAGGCAGAAAGTACCTCCACCAAAGTTCGAGTCGTCTTTAATGCCTCAAGTCCAACGGCTAATGGCACAAGTCTGAACGATGTACTTCTCCCAGGTCCAGTTCTCCAAGCAGATCTTCCGATCCTTATACTCCGCTGGAGGTTATACAGATACGTTTTTAATAGTGACATCGAGAAGATGTATCGGCAAGTTTGGGTGGATAGCAACCATACCAAATATCAGCGGATAGTTTTCCGTACAAACCCGAACGAACCTGTAAGTCTATACGAATTAAAGACTGTCACCTTCGGGATTAATTGTGCTCCTTACCTCGCGATAAGGACACTTCTACAACTGGCTGACGATGTAGAAAGCTCTTCCCCAATAGCATCTAACATACTACGGAAATGCATGTATGTGGATGACGTGCTAGCTGGAGGACATAGCATCGATTCTACCGTAAAAGCAAGAGATGAAATCTCTGAAGTACTACGGTCAGCTGGTTTTCCGCTAAGGAAATGGACCTCAAACTGTGCGGAAATTCTAAAGGACATCCCAAAAACGGATTTACTGAGTGAAGACTTTTTGGCATTCGAAGACACCAGCACGGTTAAGGCTCTTGGCATAAGATGGAATGCCCATACCGATCTATTCTATTTCATGGCAAGACCATTGGAGGATCGCGAGACACTTACAAAAAGGGCGATACTATCAGCTATCGCCAAGCTATTTGATCCGCTAGGATGGCTTGCTCCAATAGTCGTCGTGGCCAAAATAATTATGCAAAGTATTTGGCTAGAAGGCACAGACTGGGATGAGACTGTGTCTTCTACTACTATGGAACGATGGCAGAATTTTACCAAACATTACCATGAAATAGACAATATTAGAATACCTCGATGGGTACACTTCGCACCAGGAGATGACATCGAGATACATGGTTTCTGCGACGCATCGGAAAAAGCATATGCGGCTACTGCATACATGCGCGTCAAAAGAGATGACAAAGTTTTGGTCAATCTTCTTTTGGCAAAAACCAAAGTAGCTCCTGTCAAAACAATATCGCTACCACGACTAGAGCTTTGCGGAGCCGTACTGCTCGCGGAAATCATAGAATCCGTAATCAACAACCTCAACCTAGGGCAAGTTAAAACATATCTTTGGACAGATTCGACCATCGTACTCGCATGGATACGAAAGCCGCCTTGTTCTTGGTCAACTTTCGTCGCACATCGAATTACGAAAATAGTAGAAAAGGTCGGTAACAAGGACTGGTTACATGTAGACTCGGCTTCTAATCCAGCCGACTTGGCTAGCAGAGGATTGCCTGCGTCAGAGTTGGTGACCAATTTTTTGTGGTGGCAGGGACCTTCTTGGTTGCAAGAAGACAACTCTAAGTGGCCCGCTCAAGAAATTACCTATCACACAGAAGTTGAAGAAAAAAGAGCGCACGCTTATGCATCAACAAAAGAAAACAATATCGATATTCTTGACCGATTTTCAGATCTACCGAGAGCTTTGAGAGTGTTATCATACGTCATGAGATTCTACCGAAGAACTCACCCGAAAACAAAAGCTTCATTTCAGGAAACTTCTTGTTTAATTTCATCAGAAGAAATTAAGACGACGACACATCTCTTGATAAAAATCAACCAGAAGCAACACTACGGTGAAGAATACAGGAATTTGAAAACTAGAAAACCCATCGATGCAAAGAGCGAAATCCTTCCGCTTAATCCGTTCGTCGACAAGCACGACATCATCAGGGCTGGAGGTCGCCTCGGAGCATCCCAGGACTTAGCTTATAATGAGCGCCATCCAATCATTATTCCGTATAACTGCAGATTGTCCCGTCTTATCGTCCTGATGATTCACCAAGTCTCCTTACACGGAGAAAATCAGCTCATGTTACGCCTTATTCGTACTCAGTACTGGATTCCCAGGGTAAAAAACATGATTAGGTCTACCATCCACAATTGTAAAATTTGTACCATCTACAAAAAACGATCCCAGACGCAAATTATGGGAACTCTTCCTCAGGAACGCACAACATTTACGCGTGCGTTCACGAATACGGGAGTAGACTTCACGGGACCCTTTGAAATTAAAAGTTACCGTGGTAGAGGTTGTCGAATTTCCAAAGGCTATGTTTGCCTATTTGTTTGTTTCACCACTAAAGCGATTCACTTAGAAGCCACCAGTGACCTTAGTACCCCATCCTTTCTAGCAGCATTTGCTCGGTTCGTGGCTAGAAGAGGATGCCCGAAGAATATCTATTCCGACAATGGTACAAATTTTGTCGGAGCTTCGCGATCTTTACGATCTGAATTCAAAGCTTTTTTGTCTGACGCGCGAGACAAAACGATTTCCAAATATAACCATCAAACACTTGAGTGGCATTTTATACCTGCTGCCGCTCCTCACATGGGAGGACTCTGGGAGGCAGGTGTAAAGAGCTTTAAAAGTCACTTTAAAAAGGTGGCGTCCGCTCACAAATACACCTTTGAAGAGCTCAGTACGCTTTTATGCCGGATTGAAGCATGCCTCAATTCGCGACCACTGAGTCCCTCTTCAAATGAGCCAAATGATCTGGAGCCGCTTACTCCAGGCCATTTTCTCACTGGTGGACATCTTATGGCTCCGCCAGAACCTGATGTGAATGAGAACCCTGCCTCCATCGTCAATCGATGGCAAAAACTAAAAGCACTGCATCAGATGTTTTGCAGGCGATGGAAAGTGGAGTACTTAGCCGAACTACAAAAGCGAATTAAATGGAAGCACCCCAAGGAGAATATGAAAACAGGTGATCTCGTTGTTATACGGGAAGACAATCTGCCTCCAACTGAATGGAGATTGGGGCGAGTTGTCAACTTACACCCGGGTACCGATGGTAGGGTGCGCGTAGTGGACATACTGACGGAGAAAGGTCAAGTTACCAGACCACTAGTGAAGCTGGTTCTCCTCCCACCATACAGCGAGGGAAACTCGGAGCCAACAACCACGTCATAAATCGCCCTTCTTCACCCATATCGTATTCCACTTCCTGTTACAACGAAATTCCACTTCAATGTAATAGGAGTGATGCCACGTGTCAATAGTTGAAAAGGTTACAAGGGAATTATTTTTAATATTTGGAGGTGATGGTTCTTACTCGGGGCTCTCCCGAGTTGATCTGGTTAAAGACAAACGACCATCGTCAGATCAATAATCATAATAGTAATAAATCGCAGAGTAGCGAACTACTCCGCCTTTGAATAAGAAGCAAACAGTAGAAAACTAGCAAGTTTTTCTTTTTTCAAATTCTTTAAAATTCAAGCTTGCTGGTTTTCTATCCACTTTATTTTGGGGAGATTACAACCACCCCACCCCGAAATGAACCAGTTAAAATAATAATAATTATAAGGTTTAAACTCACGATTATTTGCTTCCGGTACGTTCTTGATAGACGAAATCGTGGTCTGCTTTCTCTAGTAGACGCGTCAGGATTTTAGACGTCATGCTTAGACGTTTAACCGCGTGTTCTCCTTATTGCAACAACACTTTATAAAACAAAAGAAAAAACAATTAGGGCTCAAATAAAAAAGTCAGCAAAGGTAAAAAACAAACGGATGGAGCTTTACTTGGAATGGCCACCACCGAATCTTCAGATCCGACGCTCGCAGTAGACTTGGTACTATCCCTGTTAGGTGCTGATGCTTCATCAACTTGATGCATTTGTGAAGGACGTTGTTCATGCTCTAGCGTCACCATACTGGTATCGCAACTGCTCGGACGACGTAATTTATTGTTAAGTCTCGGTTCCTTTAGGTTCTTCTCTGATTTCAATTTGGCAGCACGTTGTGGCCTTACAAATGAAGTTTCACTGCAACTGGTTTGCAATATATCATTCGGAACGTTGGCGCTACTTGGGACTGGCGGGGGATTCATTTGTGGAGTTTGCACAATGTCATCGTCAAATTGTCGAGCCGTTTAAAGGCACGTAATTTTTGTGTTTTTCTTTGATCAAGTGTAGAGAATACATAGTCAAACAAGATGCGCATCACCTCGTCCCTGCTTGGAGCCCACTTTGGCAACTTGGCCAAGGTACATGGCATTGTCACCTATAAATTGTCGCCATTTGAACAGCGTGCGTTTGCTGGCGCGATAAGCAAAGGTTTGCCCAACATTTTCAGACGCATCCGTTCCAATATTTTTATTGTGACACCGCCTTTCATTGTTGGATACTTGATCTATGACCTGACGGAACGTGAACACCACCACTTGACTCGCAAGAATCCCAAGGAATTCGAGAATGATGAATAAACGGTTGTTTAAATAAAACCACACACCACACAAATTTTTAAATTAAATACATCATATGTAGTTTAATTTGGAAAGTAGAACAAATTTATGCAGCTTACTAAAAAAAAACTTTTAGTAAGAGGAGATTGAGGGATTAATCTACTAGACACTGCTTGTTGAGTACTTCATATATCATATTTATATAATAAAGATTTAGATAACTGACATATTGCTGATAAAAAATTAACTGAGAAGGCTTGGGAAAGAGTTAAAGCAAAGGATAGCAATCTTAGTGAGAAAACAAATGCTTCGGTATGGGGAACATTTATAGTAAAACTAAGAAAGTGGGAGGAAAAACTGGTTGTCAGCTCTTCAAACATGCTTTAAAAAGTGCTAAACAAAATTTAAAGAAAAGTAATAACTTAAAAGATGCAATAAAAATTTC